AAATGTTAAAATATTACAGCAATTACCACAAATTGTGTACATTCATAATAGATACAAATCTATAAGAGAAAGTAACAATTGTTGTTGAAAGTGGAAAACTAAAGAGCCAGATGCTCCTCTGAAGAGTGATACAAGGTGGATGAGCAGCGTCTTAAGGCTGAATTCAAACACTTCAAAACTTCTCCTGCAGCTGCTGAACACCTGACCTCCATCTGATCTTTTGTTATTGAATTCATTCCAGGAGCAAATCGTATCTGCTGTGCTTTTAGCAAAAAACATGTACTCATTTATTACAAGATTGCACTTGAAATGCTTCGGTGTGCGTTCATTAGCTCCACTTTCACAGAGGCCACATCCGCCTCACCTGAGACTCTTTAAGACTAGTTCAATGTCGTTGTTGCTTCCATCATTGCTTCACCAAACTCCCGTAGAAGCCTGACATGATGCTGTACTTTTAAATAAAGAATATGTTGGTACATTTGTCCTCCGGTTGTTCTCAGCTTTGGTTCAGCAGGTTTGGATCTTCACACTCTAAGCTGCAGGCGTCCCAGCTGTCCCTCCTTTTTCCTCCTCACTTTGTTCCTGGAAGTTTACCTGGTCTCACTTCATGCTCCTCTGACTCTGAAATCTGAAGATCCCCCGGGTGGAAACTCAGCCTGCTGCCCTCTGGAGCCTCCGCTGACCTTAAAGTCCAGACAGACGTCTTCCTGTTGGGGTCTAACCGGAGCTGAGAGGCTGTTAGAGAGAGGGGGGGGGGGGGTCCCAGAGCGGGGGGGGGGGGGGGGGGGGGGTCCCATGTGGATTTGTAAATGTTAGGAAGGTATCACAACAAGCTCAAGGAGGGAAACTGTCACCGTGGCATTTATAATGACAGCAGATCATGTACCTTGTATTTGTGTTGTGATTTAGTTCAAACGAGGATGAGAGACAAAAGTTAGTTAGTAAGTCAGTAAGTTAGTTGGCAGCCTGGTTGGTTGGTTGGTTTCTCAGTTAGTTGAATGGCTGGATTGTAGGTTGTTTGGTTGGTTGGTTTGGTGGAAGGTTGATTGGTTGATATATTGGCTGGATGGTTGGTTGGCTAGTTGCTTTGTTAGTCATTTGGTTGGTAGGTCGTTTGGTAAGCTAGATGGTTGGTTCAATGGTTGTTTGGTAATTTGCTTTGTTAGTAAGTTAGTTGGTTGGTCGTTTGGTTGGCTGGTTTGTTATTTAGTCAGTTAATAATTTGGTTGGTTGGTTATTTAGTCAGTTAGTCATTTAGTTGGTTGGTTGGTTGTTTGGTTAATTGCTTTGATAGTAAGTCTGTTGGTTGGTTGGTTGGATGGTTGGTTGGATGGTTGGATGGTTGGTTGGTTGGTTGCTTTGTTATTTAGTCAGTTAGTCATTTGGTCATTTGGTTGGATGGTTTGTTGATTGGTTGATATATTGGCTGGATAGTTGGTTGAATGATTTGTTGTTTGGATGTTCTGGAAGGAAGGTAGTTTGTTTGGTCGATTGATTGGCTGGTAAATTGGTTGGTTTGATGGCTGGGTGGTTTTTGGTAGGTTGATTGTTAGTAAGTCAGTTGGTTAGTTAGTTGATTGGTTGGATGGCAAATTGATATGTTGGTTTGTTGATCAATTGACTGATGGTTGGATGGCTGGCTGGCTAGCTGGTTGATGGATGGTTGGTTGAACGGTTTGTTAGTTACATTAAGACTAGATCAGCCCTCTCTTAATCGTGTACTTGTCTAAATAGTCATTTATGTCCTAATCAACTTCTTTCGTACATTTTTCATTTTTTAAACCCTTTTTCATGCCGGTTGACCAATTTGTTTAAGAAACTCAGTTGATCAAATATTTATTAAATCAACTTATATATTGTCGACAAAGTTTTATGAGTTTTAAACAACCAATAATTTATTTACTAGCCAACAGCGATAATTAAGACTTTATTGAAAAATGTGACTTTGCAGAACATAGAGTAAAATATAGAAAATGGATCAAAAAAGTGTTCCGTTAAAAAGAAGGCATTACATTTATTTATTTGTTCATTGGATTCAATTTACAAAGGACAGTAAAAGTGTGTTGTCAGGAAAAATTGTTTTTGAAGTGCGCTATTTCCTTCTGACTCCATCGATTCAAAAGACTCACATTTTGTCAAAGCTCTTTTGAAACTCAAAACATGAAAAGCAAATATTAAATATGTGCATTAAAGGGAAGCGTTAATGCTCCCAGGTGAACTCAAAGTGCGGGGTGTGCAGTTTGTGAGGATCCTCAGGTGTTTGATGTCCGGCTTCAGAGGGAGCTGCAGCCTCAGCACCGAGCAAACACAAAGCTCCAGTTCTGCTTCCACGGAGGAGTTTAAATGTTGGAAACCATCCTGTCGCTGTGACAGGAAGTGAGTGTTCTGGCCTCAGCAGGAAGTGGAGCTCACTGGGGGAGATGTAGAGGAGGAACTGAGGAATATTTTAGGGTGGGAACAGCATGGAGTCTGGAACAAGTGTAGGGTAGCTTTTTTTGATCGGGAACGGCAGAAACAGCGGAGAGGCAAACATGTTTGTAAAGAAGCTCCGGAGCCGGGAAAAAGCAGCGAGATTGGGTTGAAGAGCAGGAACGTAGAAGTGAGGCAAGATGATTTGATCTGCACCTTGTAAATGGCTCCAATCTCCTAGAAGTGGATAAGAGAGGAGCAAAGGCAGAGCTCCTCAGAAGAGTGAAAAAACATGATTGGATTTCGGTCCCTAAATTGAGGAGGACCAACCACAAAGGTTTTTTTCTAGCAAGCACTATGTAGGGTGTATTTAAGAGCAGAGGGACTGGAAAGTGGCTTTTAGGGAGTCAAGGAAACATGTGGTGGAGAATTCATCGTTCGTGTAACAGCAATACACTGCAGACGCCATCTAGAAATCAATTTAAAGGGGACCTATCATGCAAAATGCACTTTTGTACGTCTTTTATACATGAATATGTGTCCCCGGTGTTCCAGGGAACTCACCAAGTGTCAGAAAACACAACCCTCTCTATTTTCCTCCATAGCCAAATCTCTAAAAACGGGGCTGGAACGGAGCTGATTATTATTTGAATTTTTCTGACGTCAGAAAAGGGGTGCTCCGCCTATATGGGCAACTCTCCACCTATCAGGGGAATGGGGGGTTGGGCCACGGCCATTGCCGCTCGAAAGCGCTGGAGACGCTGTAGTACATATGCCAGGCCTGTAAGTGGCGCTGTAGTCTGCCACAAAAGCAGAATCAGCCCTTGCAAAAACAGAGCTGGAAAAGAGCAAATAGAGTGAAATGAGGCATGGCCAAAATGCATGATCTGTTTGGTATTTTTTTTTTAAAACTTCACAGACATGTTTTATACTGTATAGGTATGGCCCTACAATATATTTTTCAAATATAGCATGATAGGTCCACTTTAAATAATTGTTGTAATTTGAATAGTTTGGATTCCTGTCCAAAACACAATCACACCAAGTTACAAGTGTTTATTGTGTCCGTGCATTGATAGAGTTTGTGTAATATCTGTGTGTTTGGATAACCTTAGAGTAGCATTGGTTTTGGGAATATATGCTGGTTAACCGTTAGCATAAGAACCATTTCTTATTGAGCAGAGTATGAAAAATATATATCATTGTATGAACATTAGAAGGTTGAGGTAAGATGGTGCAATTCAAGATGAATACAAATTGTTAAACGTAAGAAGTAAATAAAAATAGAAATATAATAGAAATTAATTCTAAATTAATTAATACAAACATAGTCCAATAACACATTTAATAAAATAAAAAACTATTTATATAAAAAATAAGAAGTTCAAGTAAAGTCGCTCTAAAGATTTTTTGTCATGGAACCAACTTCAAATATATTGATTTAACCCCAAAAGTCATTCAAAAAACAAGATGATATTAAATGAGATAAGAGGTACTTTATTGATCCCAAATTGGTAAATGTTTTGGGTTGCATCCGCATAAAAAACTAAACAAGGCATTGCATATGAGTAGAAATGCACAAATGTGCAGTCTGAGCCGTGTGCAGGCCTTTGCATCGTTGTGTAGTACTCTGTTGTTGTTGTTGTTGTTTTATTTCCTACACCTCATGATGACAGGTGACAGACCCGTTAGCCTTTAGCTTAGCCTGCGCAGCGGAAATGTTTAATGATGGCTTCCTGCTCCCTGAGTGCAGCAGGTCAGGAGAACCAGTGTTTGCTGTCAGACGCTCTGCAGATTTATGAGTGTGTTGCCTAATATCCATAATGTGAGGTCAGGAAATCACTCAACGTGAGCGCCGGCTGCCGTGCCGTTATCTGTGGGGGGCTCAGCAATGCCTGCATCTGGAGCAGAGGGGGAAGGAGCTGCTGAAGAGGAGTTATGTTGGTAGAAAGTTGCACATATGGAAATATTTGTAAACCCATTTTCAGGAGAAACTATTATTTAAAAAATAAAAACTGAATTTATTACAAGGAATAAAAGAACATTTGACAAATGACTGGACATGTATTTAAAATAAAATATATATATTGTGTATTAGATTTACACAGGGAATTGAATTTGGTGTATCATGGTGCAAACATAGACACAGTAATGGGAATTAAGAATTTGCAAATAAAGAATTCTAAATAAATAATGTAATCATTTGTAAATATTATTATTAAATAAAAAAAGTGTGAAATTGTCAGTCTTTCAATTCAAGCTGCAGTTTTGAAAGTCTGTTCTTGCTGTTCTATTACCTGTCTTTGCTATTTAATTACCTAAACCACATGACTGGTGATTATTAATCAACAATCTCACTGTGTAAATGTTTAGTTGAACAATCAAATGTTGTCAACATATCAATATCACAGTGTTTAATCTAAGATTGTGTGATATATTGTTGTGTTCACATCGCCCAGTCCTACTTCCTCCTCCGATCTCTCGCAACATGCTATTTGCTAGTTCTGCAGTTTGCTGTTGTTCCTAAAGATCCTCACAGATAATGTCCCTGCCACTTTAACCCTGTCCTCCTCCCTGTCCCTGCAGCCTGTGAGCTGATGAACCAGGGCATCTTGGCGTTGGTCACCTCGACAGGATGTGCCTCAGCCAGCGCTCTGCAGTCTCTGACGGACGCCATGCACATCCCTCACCTGTACGTCCAGAGGAGCAGCGAGGGCTCTCCGCGCACCTCCTGCCCCTTCAACCCCAGCCCGGGGGGGCACAGGTACACGCTGTCCGCCCGGCCGCCCGTCCGCCTCAACGACGTGATGCTCACGCTGGTGGAGGAGCTGCGCTGGCAGAAGTTCATCATCTTCTACGACATCGAATATGGTGAGTGAGCGACGGAGGGTCCAGACGCCGATCTGGATCTTCTGGGTCCTTTAAAGGTCTCCTGTTATGCTATTTTTAGGCATATAGTATGGGTCTCAGATATATACAAATATTCTTCTGGGTTGTTGTCGAAGGAAAACAGAAGAAGTTTGGCTCTTGTATTGGAAGCTGGAGGATCTTAAACATCTTCAACATGTGGTCCATTTGACCTTAAACAGCTAAAACACGTCATCTTCCATCAACAAGTCTTTGATTAATTGGCTTGTTGATTGGTTTCCTGTTTAGTGACTTACTACTGACTGTTGTTGAGGCAATTCCACAGAAGCTTAGTTGCTTGTAGACATTGTAACATTTACAATCGTGTTGATGAACTTCTGGAGCTGCGCTGGCAGAAGTTCATCGTCTTCTACGACATCGAATACGGTGAGTGAGAGACGGAGGGTCCAGACGCAGAGCTGGAGCTTCTGGGTCCTTTTAAAGAGTTAATGGAAACGCTGAGGGAGGATCAGCTGCTGAGAGTTGGGATTTGTTGTCAAAGGAAAACAAAATCAGTTTTATTGGAAGCTGGATGATCCTAGAAATCTGAACCATTTGATACATTTTACTTTTAACAGCTAGAAAACTTTATATCTTCCATCAAAAACTCTTTGTAATAGATAGTTTCCTCCATACAGACGTGTTAGGAATGGTTACCACTAGTTGATTGGACGTCTGTTTGGAGACTTTTTAATTGGGAAAACTGGTTTTGTGGCCCTGGAAAACATTGAGATCTTCTGACTGTTGTGAGGATGGCTCTAGTGAAGAATGGCTTCAGCTTAATCTACCGTGAGTCTGAAGTGAAGAAATTGTTGTTTTTGTGGAAACTAGATTGTCTTAGAAATGTGTAAAATGTGGTGTATTTTAGTCCAACTATCTGGGATTGTGTCGTCTTAGAGGTGCTTTAATTTCAAGATGAATCAGCCACTTACAAGTTATCCAAAGCATCGACAGCAATGATGCTCATCCCGATAACTTTGGATGATTGTCTGGAAACTTTGGCCGTGTTTGTTTCACAGATACCTGAGCGTTGCCTCACCCCCCCCCCTGTCGATGGATGATGCCACACACTGCTCTTCTGCTGTTTGAACTCTACAGGACGCCTGGTTCTTGTTTGGGTTTCAGCAGCGAGGTTACTTTAACATTCTGTGTAAGAGCAAGCATCCCAGCGGGGGGACCAGCGCTCTGCAAAGAAGCTCCTCAGGTGGTAAAATATGCTGCTTTTTCTACCTTTGGAGTCTTCGCTCAAACTCTGCATGTCTGAGACTAAACACACTTTCTGAAACACCTTGTTAGAGCGTTTGATTTGGGCGTTTCTCTTGTCTGAACTGAGGGTCTAAGACGGAGCGTGAACAGATTTGAAAGCCCTTTGTAGCAAAGTCGTGATTTTTGGCTGCACAACATTGCCATGTCTTTAAAGAATACAAACAACCCTGTTTTATATTCCATATTTGCAGTCGAAGCTATTGATTTCAAAGTGCAAAACAGTCCCAGGAATGTGCATACATGTGCAACATATTCAGGGGAATGTGCAAAAATGTCCAGACGTGTGCAAAATGGTCAGACAGATGTGCATACCAGTCGAAGAAATGTGCAAACGTGGAAATGTTTCAGTCTGCGCTCAAACTCTGCACGTCTAAACACACTTTCTGAAACACCTTGTTAGAGCGTTTGTTTTGGGTGTTTTCTTTTATCTGAATGATGAGCGTGTTGTCTGCTTTACAGATTTGATAGCCCTATGAGGCAACGTCTTGATTTTTGGCTGCACAAATAACATTGACGTGACTTTGTCTTGTCTTTCAAGGCTACCAACAGCCCTATTTGTATTCAATATCTCTGGAAGGTATCGGACTTGACGTGCAACATCGTGGAAAATGTTCAGATAAATGTTCAGAAATGTGATATACTCATTTTAAAGCCCTTGAAGGCCTCTTCTTGATTTCTGGCTGCACAAATAACATTGACGTGACTTTAGTTGCCTTTTGAGGCTACAAACAGCCCTGTTTTTATTCCATATCACTAGAAAACATTCAGATTCAAAGTGCTAAATCGTGCAAAATGTTCAGATAGATGCACAGAAATGTGCTAAATAGTCAGATACCTTGTTGGGAAAGTTGTTTGAGGCATTTTATTTTGTTCAAACAGCCCTGTTCTTATTCCATATCTGCAGAGAACTCTATTGATTTCAACCTGAAGCAGTGCATTATATCCACAGCACTCCTCTTGTTGCATATCTATTGACATCCTCTTCTGGAAGCTTGAGTCCACCTGACGTTGTAACCGCACATGAACTACATGGAGACAACAAGCATTAGGCCTGAATGATTTTCAATGATGTTGTTTTCTAGCCTCTGGAACGTTTCCATGTCCTGATATTGCAGCAGAACGTGAGACATTGACTTCACTCTCTTCTGCGTTTGTTTGCCGTAGCTTACTGGGACTGTATCGTAATGAAATCACATTAGACCCAATGGACTCGTGAGCGTAATCGATACAGGATGGTGGCAATTACAATATAAGGATATAGACGGATGCAGGCATTTAGCCCCTCAGAGTGATGGAGGGTAAGTGCTCCAGAGCGAGAGGATCCTTTCAGACGGAAACCAGGGCACGGTGAACATGTTCCTGAGTGGCTGGGAGATGTGGAAGTCTTTCAATGACAGCTCAGGGACTTCCGTAGTTCTAGGCACAAATAATATTTGTAATTTGAATGATTTGGATTCCTCTCCAAAACACAATCACACCAAGTGTTGATTTTTTCTGTGCATTTACAGAGTTTGTGTAATGTGTGTGTGTTTAGATAACCTTAAAGTAAGTAGCGTTGGTCTTGGGAATATATGCTAGTTAACCGTTAGCTAAAGTTAAATAAAAACGTAAAAAAATTGTTCAACGTAAGAAGTTACAGTAAAAAAAAAAAAATTAGAATAATAACAAATTCTAATAAAATGAATACAAACACAGTCCAATAAAAAATAAAATAAAATAAAAAAAGTATTTATATAACAATAAGAAGTCCAAGTAAAGTCTCTCTAAAGAATGTTTGTCATGGTACCAACAAAAAAACAAGATAGTTTTAAACCAAAATATGTTCCAGAAACAAAATTATAATAAATGCAGCAATGACTCAGCTTGTCCAGACTCAGCATCGACAGGTTGTGTACTACTCTGTTGTTGATGTTGTTCAAGGTTCAAGGTTCAAGGTTCTTTATTGTCAAACTAACATAGCTACAGAGTAATTATGTCGTTGAAAATCTTAGGTCACAGGCTTCTGTGACCTAAGATTTAGTTGTTGTTGTTGACACGTGGCCCGACTGAGAGTACAGGGAACATGTTTCTGAGTGGCTGGGAGACGTGGAAGTCTTTAAATGACAGCTCAGGGACTTCTGTAGTTCTAGGTTTCTTTAAATGTGCTCACATTGCATTTCAAGGAGAGCTTTGGAAACCCACCGTTGTTAAACCACTTCTTAATCTTTCTGAAACCAACATGATATTATTGATACCTGAACGCCTTCCAGTTAACAACCTTTAAACATGTCAGATTTCTCAAGTGGCCTGACAACGTGTCTGACTTCTGTCTGGGATGTTGCTACTTTGGTTTGATATATTTATCATGCAATGTGAGTTAGACTATTTGTGACATTGATCCAATTGTGGGCATGATGATTGGAATTTATAAGTTCTTTGTGTGCTTAACGGTCAAAGAAATGTGCAAAGAAATCAGATAAACGTGCAGGAATGTGCAAAATGGTCAGATTAATGCACAGAATGTTGTAAACTAGTCATATTGAATGTGCATTAATGTGCAAGATAATAAAAGGAATGTGCAACATAGCGAGAAAAATGTGCAGAAATATGAAAATAAATCAGATAATTGTGCACAATTGTCAGATAAACGTGCAGAAATGTGCAAAATGGTCAGATGCATGTGCAGCACATACAGAGGAGTGTGCAGAGAAGTGCATTGATGTGCAAATGAATGAAAGGAATGTGAAGAAATGTGCAAAGAAATCAGATAATTGTGCAAAATAGTCTGATAAACGAGCAGGAATGTGCAACATGGTCAGAGGATTTTTTATGAATGTGCATTCATGTGCAAGATAATGAAATGAATGTACTGCAAAGCGCTAACAGCCAGAGGTTTTTTGGGTGTTTGAAGTGAGTTTAGTCTCTTCCCTCTGCTGAGACTGTTTGCACAGACTCCTCTCTGTGATGTGGGGCTGCCCTCCAGCTCCGATACCAACGAGCGGCAGGCGTTGTGATGAAAGTCTGAAAGTGAACATGTGATCAGACCCAGAGCAGCAGGGATCCCTCAGAACACAACTCAGTGTCTGCAGGAGGTGAACGATTGCAGCGCACCCTCAGGATGTCAGATAGCATTATATCTGACAGGGTGTCATAACTCTGAGGAAAGACATGAAAAAGCTTCTCTCTTCGGGTTTGGACCAAAACTGGATCTCGGGAAGGTCACAGAGGCTCCTTGAGTGCTTTGGGGCCTGCCTCTAAAAGTATTGACACCAAGCGCTCCGTCCCAGCTGTGTGCGTCACTCTTGAGTGTCCCCTGGTCTCCCAGCTGTGTGCGTCACTCTTGAGTGTCCCCTGGTCTCCCAGCTGTGTGCGTCACTCTTTAGTGTCCCCTGGTCTCCCAGCTGTGTGCGTCACTCTTTAGTGTCCCCTGGTCTCCCAGCTGTGTGCGTCACTCTTTAGTGTCCCCTGGTCTCCCAGCTGTGTGCGTCACTCTTGAGTGTCCCCTGGTCTCCCAGCTGTGTGCGTCACTCTTTAGTGTCCCCTGGTCTCCCAGCTGTGTGCGTCACTCTTTAGTGTCCCCTGGTCTCCCAGCTGTGTGCGTCACTCTTTAGTGTCCCCTGGTCTCCCAGCTGTGTGCGTCACTCTTGAGTGTCCCCTGGTCTCCCAGCTGTGTGCGTCACTCTTTAGTGTCCCCTGGTCTCCCAGCTGTGTGCGTCACT